CGAGCATGTGTCGTACAATACCCCTTAAGGAAAAGGAAACCCTATTTGGTAACAAATAAAGAACTGAGATTCCCTTCCCCAATGAGAAAAGTCCTTATTTGGTTGTTTCTCTTTATATTCTTGGGATCTCCTTATAAAAAGAGGAGACACAAATCACACAGTACCTCCCTAAAGTCTCTTTTCCTCCTCAGAGAAGCTGAACTCACCCCTTTATACCTCAATCTTGACTCTGATCATATATCATCTTCGCCCTTCAAGGAGACCACCTCTTACCATCACTCCATACCACATCTACACTACCTTTCCTTGCTAAGAGTCCTTAATGAAGTGGCTATGAAGATTCAGAAAATTCAAATAGACTTTTTATGGGAAGGTGTGGGGGGAGCCAAAAAATATCACTTGGTCAAGTGGGAAAAAGTGTGCAAGCCAAAGGAGGGGGGAGGTTTGGGGCTGAGTAGGGTAAAATTAATAAACAAAGCGCTTCTAGGGAAATGGCTGTGGAGGTTTGGGCAAGGGAGAGAGGGAGGCTCTATGGAGGAGGGTGGCGATTGGGAAATATGGTGTGATAAGATTTGGGTGGGAATCAAGGGAAGTAAGTAGTTCCTATGGGGTGAGTGCTTAGAAAGGAATCATGAGCTTCAATCAAGAATTCAGAAATTTGGTCAAGTTCAAAGTGGGGGAAGGCTCTAGAGTGAGGTTTTGGGAAGATGAGTGGCTTGAGATCGGGAAGTTAAGTGAGGTGTGCCCAAGATTATACAAGTTAACAGAACAACAAGTTTCAATAGCCCAATGCAATGAGTGGAGAGGGAAGCAACTGATCTGGAATCCGAAATTCAGAAGGCCTCTATTAGACTAAGAAACTGAAGAGTATATTATTCTTCTGGAAAAATTAGAAGGGACCAGCATTTCTAGATGTGCAGAAGATGGTCTTGGGTGGAAAGAATGTAAGGAAGACAGATTCACAGTTAATTCATTCTACAAAGCATTAGTAAGAGAAGAAATGGGTCCAGACCAGATAAAAGGAGTATGGGGTAACCCAGTTCCCCCAAGGGTAGAAGCTTTCGCCTGGCTGGTGGCACATGACAGCATTCTCACCTCTGATCACCTGAAATCTAGGGGATTACATCTGGCCAACTGGTGTTATTTATTCAATCAGGAGGAAGAAACAGTCCTCCATTTGTTCTCATGCAGCATAGCAAGCTTCATACGAAAGTTCTTTTCCTACCTATTTGGGATGAGTGTCTTCCAACCAAGACTCCAGTAGAGATCTTCTCTTTGTGATCAAAGCTCAGAGGCAGTAAGAAAGCAAGGATTATTTGGAGTTGTGTCCCGTTTGCAGTATGTTGGTCTATTTGGAGGGAGAGAAACAGAAGAGTTTTTGAGAACAGGTCAAATAGCATGGTAGCTGTAGTAAGCAATCTGATCTTAGAATGGATCCTCAGACTCCCAGATTTTGATCAAGTCTCCAAAGCCGATTTGTTGGAGAACTTCTGAAATACCCTTGACTTACAGCCTTGTAATGAAGAATGCTTTTCACTTTGAAGTTATGAGAATGTATCTAGTGTGTCATCTAGACAACCAATGGTGTTAAGATGCAATTCTTTTTCTCTTTTAAAGAAATTTCTTCTTGATTCTTCAAAAAAAAAAAAGAGATGAAATAATGGAATTAGAGTTCATTTTGATGTTACCTGTGGGTAATAGTGTGATACTTATACTTTCTCTTTCTTTTTTCTCTGTTCTCTCTTTTTCCTTTAAAACTAAAAATGCACTCTTTCTTCTCCTTCTTTTCTCTTTTCAAATCTGAATTTCTTCCTCTTATAATTCAGATCCTTATTTTTTTTTTTGATAAATAAATTTCATCAACTTTCATAAGAATCAAAGAATAACATCTGTTACAAGCATCCCAGTGCGAGGCGCGAGGTGCAGCATCACTCTTTAACAAAAATATATAACAGATTTACAAATGGGCCCAGTACATCTGATCCCTAGTTACCCCTTGCTTAGCTAGAAAATCAGTCGATGCACTGGCCTCCCTTTCCACCCACTGTATAGTTAAAATCATTTGTTGTGTGAGCCATTTCAACTTCATTTCATTTCTGTAACACCAAATCACTGAATCTGGGTTCTTTAGCCAACCCACCACCACCTTGGAGTCCCCTTCTATCATCGATTTCTCCACTCCTAAATCTTTTGCAATCTGAATGCCTTGTGGGGCTGCATATAGTTCTGCCTTTAAAGAATCTCCATGTCCCATTGGTCCTGAAAATATAGCTCTTAAGTTTCCTTGCTTGTCTCTTACAGCCCCTCCTATGCCAGACGGACTTGGGTTGCCTTGGCTGCTCCCATCAAAGTTTAGTTTCAGCCAATCTTCAGTGGATTCCAAACCGACCTTGCTTTGCCTTGGCTGGTCCCATTCAGATCCTTATTTCTCCCTCTTGTTGCTACCATGTTCATTCTGGTAGGACTTTCTTCTTGTGCTATGTCAATCATGTATTTTGGTTTGATGGTCTGCTAATCTTGCAATATCACATCAGAGAGGCTAGAGCTTTGTTTTCAAGAATGAAGAACTTATTCCAACGGATTCCAAAGTAGACTAACTTGATGTCAGATGCCTTAGTTGGGATTGGGATGAGGTAGAGTGATGCAGTAGGCCTGGAACAAACTATCACAAGAGAGAGAGAGAGAGAGAGAGAGCTGGAACAAACTCTTCATCTCTGCCAATGTGGTGATAAGATATTCACTTCTATTTTCTATTTGTTGCTCAAGAGTTCTCCACCATACTTAAGCAATACCTGCACATTTCATGCATGCAAATCTAAATCTTTGTTTTTCAGACATATCATGCCAATTGAAATATTCTAGTATAGCAATCCAATTAAAGAATGCTTGCCGACCTTCATCTCCCTTGAAATTAGGCACTTCCCTTTCTCTTCTAACATTCTTGAAAACCTTACTCCTATAGCCAACATTACCAGATCTACTTTCTTCCACCAATTTCTCAAGTAAATCAACCATAAACCCTTCATATTGTGAGTGGTGTGGTAAGGCTACGTACGGGGGTCTCCTTGAAGGACGAAGGAAGGCTGAGGGCAAAAGAGTAGGCTAAAGGCTCTGAGTGACAGAAACGTAGAATGATGTTCTCGTTATGAGTTAGACCTCTATTTATAGGGAGAGATCCTGAGGTCCCGAAAGGGAGGAGCCAAAAGCGTTTGACTCCCATTAGGAAAGGGAATCTTCGATCCGGTGTCAACTGTCAGGGAACACCGCTAGGGTTTTGCCACGTGTCTTATGAGATATCTCAAGGACGAGCTTTCCTTTCGTATGAGGATTCTCATAATACACGTATGCTACTTCCTTTTGCGAGTCTCCTAGACTGACGTGGCACGAGTGACGTCAATACTAATCTCACATGTCTTCTAATCTCATTGGTTGCTCCATCACGTGCGGCGTTAGTGGATCATGTGCATTTTTGTTTGTCTCTGGCCTGCGATGGCCTTGAGCTCATTGCAAACTCGCGGTAGTTTTGAGCTCATCACAGGTTCACGACGACTTTATGCTCATCGCGAGCCTGAGGTGGATCTGAGCTCATCGCAGCCTCGCAATAGCTTTATATGCTCATTGCAGGCTCACAATGGTTCTGAGTTTGTCTTTGTCGTTGCGGTTTTGGATCTATTGCAGGCTTGCGGTGGTCTTGAGTTCATTGCAAGCTCATTCTTGTGGCATCAGTTTAGCACCTTCTGTGCCACCATAGTCGTGGCAATCAACATATACCTAACATATGGCTCAAAAACCCTATCATCATTGATTCTAAACCCATGGGGTTGTTTAAATGATACCCTAGGCCCATAGTAGTCAGTTTGTGAACATGGTGACTAACCATTAGCTCTGATACCAAAACTGATGCAATAGGGCTGGAACAAACTATCACATGATAGATATAGAGAGAGGGGTGGAGAAAGAGATAAGAGAGAAATCCCAAGGAATCATTCTAGAGTTTGTAGGAATCACTCCATATAGCAAGTGAGCTCTAAAGAAATCTTCACTCATTCATTAGCTTCAAAAGGAAGAGAATACATCTATTCATAGAGTGACTTGTGTGGTCCGGAATACTGTTTACCATAATTACAAAAAATGCCACTCCTTTTCTTGTGCATCAAGAAACACAATAACTTTCTATCTACTAATGCAAATAAACTTAAAATTGAAAGACAAACCCTACTAAACCAGAGGAAGAAGATGTTATAGCCTAGGCCTGCACAGGACTAGTTAAGATGACGTAAACACCCATACTGTCCAAATATACAGAGATACAGAAAATTTCAAATCTGATTCTTCAGCTCCCGCATTAAAGAGTGATTGATTTGGAGATCTACTTCTCCCAGCTAATTATCTTTTTTCTTTTTACTGTGTATGTGTGATGATCTGTTTTTAAGTCTTTTAATGTTTTCTTTCTAAACAGACGAAGTGGTGGCCAGAATTTTCCATTTTCTTTTTCCAGAATTCCCCTGGCCCCATCCCCATTTTAATTTTCAATTTGTCTAGAAATATTTGCAATATACACCCAAATTATTCCTTTTTTTGATAATTACCCAAATTATTCCTTTTTTTTTGATAATTACCCAAATTATTCCTATTTCCTCAGGCAGCATTTTCAAATATCAAGATTTCAAACCTTGATAAGGAGACACTTGTCAGATGACCATTTACTTTTCTGGTAAAGGGGAAAAACCTTTGAAGGTTATCATGTAATCCTTTTTCTATGACCTACAAGTCCAACTCTTTTTGGGATAAACGTGTAGAAAGGTCATTACACTGATCCCAGCTATTGAGGGTCTTGGAGGGGTAGACTGGATATGCTGAGACTAGATAATGAACATGTAAAAATGCCATTATGCAATATTCTGATCTCTTTCTGGAGTGAATATGTAATTAACATTAATGTTGCACTTGCTATTGAAATTCACCAAATATTTTGTGCCTAGATACTAATATAATTGCAGGTTGAATCCGAGCTTACGGAACTTCCAATTGGAGAAAGGGTTGAGTATTTGAAGTCTCTTGGTGTAAATGAAAGTGGTCTTGGAAATCTTATTAGAGCAACATATGGCCTGTTGGGGCTACGTACATACTTCACATCTGGAGAGAAGGTGAAATGGACAATCCTGCAAAGCCATAAAATCAGTTATCCTTGACTTCATCGAAACCGGTTAAAAAATTTGTTTCTTTTATTTGCAGGAAACAAAAGCATGGACAATACTTGCTGGTTTGTTTTATTTGCTACTCTTTGCGTTATACAACAAAGATTAGAACATTGGTAACAGTGAACTTTACTAAAAAAGGATAAAAATATTGGTACGAGATCATTTGAATTGTATCATGAGCAAGGTTCAAAGTATTGCTACTTATCTGTGTGTATTCGACCAATGTGTATCAGTTTTCAGGGTCACCGATACACTTGGTATAAAGAATTTAAGATGTTTATGTTTTCAAGACTCTAATATGTGATGTCAGGTCTCCTGTCAAATTGTCAGACCAAAAAATAAAAAGAAACTCTTGATACACAAAATTGAGAATATCGATACTTTGAACCTTAAATCATGAGTATGAATGGTTAGATGACTTGGTGAAGTTGGTTATTAATTGAGAATTTTTTTGACTTGGACCTAATCTAATCTAAGTTTGAATTGGCTTGTATCTTTATATAAATGAATGCTAGAAAGTGTGATGCAAACCAGAAATGGTGTTGACTATATAATTTTTTTTGTCATTTTTTTTGAATCCTTCTCTTTGAGTAAAATCTTTTCTGTCTGTCATATTTCTTTGATCTACAGGAATGACAGCACCTCAAGCTGCTGGAATTATTCATTCTGACTTTGAGAAAGGCTTCATTCGAGCTGAAACGGTTAGAGATACCATAGTTTTCTTTCAATTTTATTTTAATTGAGCATTAGGCAGGTTTTATTTTTATATTTATCTTATTTTCATACACTATTGTGATTTTCTGATTATTGAAAATGAAAAATGAATACATTTACATATGAAAACTGCAAAAGATAAATCGTCACTCTAAACTTCTAAAGTGATGCACATGTTTGAGAATGTATATGTAGCTAACCATCTATCCCACTGAATTTTAAAGATCTAATGTTATTCTTATTCTCTTATTGTATCTGATACTTAAGGTAAAGTTCTGACAAAATTTGAACTAGCATACATGGCAGTTGGCCCCAAGGACATTTAAGGAAAGAAATAATGAGGAATAATTCAGTCACTCAGTAGGCCTTCACATAATTCTAGAAATTCTGTCACACAAATGGGATCGTTGAGGGGTGTTTGGGTGGTATCAACCATCACCAGTAGCTTCAACACCTCCATCTTTAGAGTCATCTCATTGGACGCAGATGGTGGGAAAATACCAAATGATAGGAAACTGTTGAGTCATTGCCCAGTACAGGAACCACTTTGAGGGGGTTCACCTCCACAGAGAAGGAAAGAAGAAGAATCAGAAAAATCTCTCTCGCATGCTTTTATCCTCTCAAGACTACACTTTATACTATTTTATTACAACCATTATTTACTGATTGGTTCATAACCGATTCTGACTTCCCATGTGCAAATTCCAACTGATTAAGCTGATGTGTCCTTCAGCCTCCGAGTGTACACAAAATTAATAGGGCGACGGGCCTGGGTCTCTCCTTCTGCCGCTGGGTGGACATCTGCATGGGCCTTCTCTTGGGCCTGAGTCTCAGCTGGGGATGGTGGGCCTTGTGGGCTCCCAACAATTGCCTCCCCCTCGAGAGCAACCTTGTCCTCAAGGTTGAAAGCAGGGTGCTGTTGTTTGATGTGAGAACAGGATTCCCAAGTTGCACCATCCAGAGGAAATCCAGACCAAGCAATTAAAACCTCACGTATAAACTTCTTGCCCCTTTTGACCCAACGATAATCTAACACCTGGATATTTCTTCTTTTTTCTTCTGTTCTGTTTTGTTAATGGGCCTGTTAACATCAATTTTATTTTGTTTAATTAGCTGGCCGCTCAATTAAGGGCTTACTTGTAATTCTTAAAATTTAGTGATTAATTTTTTAATGAAAGGATTAGGGGAAGGCGGGGTAGTACGGACAACTCTTCTCCTCACTCTGCTCACAACTAAACTCTTCTTCCCTCTTCTTCTTCTTCTTGCTGCTGCTGCTTCTATCTCCTTTGTTTTTCCCCTTCTTTTGATCAGTTTTCTTATTCTTTTGGGACTGTTTTTCTTCTTGGTATCAGGGCAGGTCCCTTTTTTCCTTTCCTTTTTTTTCCCATACACAGTGTGTGTAGAGAGCTGAATCAAATGGTGGATTGAAGAAGATATATAGCCTAGTTGGTAGTGGTTTCTTGGAGAAAAAGGAAGATATCCTTTCATATTGTTAACAGTTTTGTTTTTTTGCCCCCAAATTCTAATCAACTAGAGAGTTCTAATTGTGGGTCCCATAGGAAGCTTCACCTTGACGCTCAGTGGCTGAAGGGGCTATTTTTGATTACCTTGAAGATCGATCCAAGCTTTGCATAGTTCTGTGAAGCCTACAAGGAGTGGCTGCTTTTTTTCTGTTTCTCCCAGGTTTCGAGTGAGATGCAGTTGGCTGTTAGGGATTTGTGAAGGTTGGTACTTGGTGTTTGTTATTTCCTATCTTCTTTATTTGTCATTTGAAACTGTTTTAGGAGTTTGAGGAAGATGGATGCTTCTGGAGTTGAAAATAAGATGGGCTTAGAGTTCGAACAGGTTCCGGGAGCACCTGTAGACTCTTTATTGGCTGTGACCACAGTCAAGTTTGATGGGACTAACTATCTAGCATGGTCATAATTAGTAAAGATACATGCTTGTAGTAGAGGCAAGTGGGGATATATTTCCAGGAGCAAGAAAGCACCGAAGGAATATGACCCATCTTATGAGAAATGGTTACAAGAGAATTACACTATTATTGGGTGGTTAGTGAATTCGATGCAACTGCAAATTAGTTAGCACTATTTGTGGATGTATTCTGCTAAGGAAATATGGGGTAGTGTTCCTTAAACCTATTCACAAAAACTGAATGTGGGTAGGGCTTACAAGTTAAGAAGTGATGTGAACAATCTAAGGCAGGGGGAGAAACCTTTAGCAGTCTACTTATCAATGCTGAAATCCTTGTGGCAAGAGATAGATCTCATGGAAACAGTTGTCTAGGAAAGTACAAATGATGTAGAGACATATAGAAAATTAGTTGAGAGGAATAGGGTTTTTGAATTCCTGACAGGGTTGAATCCAGAATTTGATATTACCAAACAGAAAATCCTAGCTAAAGACAATGTATATTTGTCTCAGACTTATGCCATGGTGAGTAGTGAGGAGAGCAGGAGGATGGTTCAAGTTCAAGGGACTATTCCAGTTGACCATTTTGCTAATATGGGGTTGAAATCTAAGATGACTACAGGTGGTATAGGGAAGAATGAGGTTATATATGAATACTGTAAGAAACCAGGACATAAAGGATAAATGTTGGAAGCTACATCTAGACCTTATTCCACCATATTTTCAAAAGAAGGTAGAAAATGGGAAGACCGGGAGTGCCAATGCAGCCACAGTGCCAGATAATGACAGGAGTGCCACAGATGAGAAAGCTGCTAGTGAGTAGTTAGCTGTTATGAAGGTGGAGTATGAGAAATATGGGAGGATGATCAACCACCTTGAGAGTGCAGCCACCTCCTCCAACTCTTCAGGCAATCCAACTACGTTTGTATTTGCTGATTCAGGTATATGTGCTACTACCTACCATGTAGCCATCTTAGGTAATCGTAGGATCCCTTGGATTATTGATTCAGGTGCTTTCAATCATATGGCCAACGTTTCTACTATGTTTAGCTCTTATGACTTACTTTTTGGCCATGATAAGATTACCCTAGCCGATGGCTCTCTTGCTCCTATCTCTGGCAAGGGAGTCATCAAGGCCACTGACTCTCATTCCCTTACTTCTGTCCTTCATGTCCCTAAACTGCATACTAATTTGATGTTAGTGAGTAGCTTAACTAAATCCTTAAACTGCAGTGTAACCTTCTTCCCTTCTTATTGTGTTTTTCAAGACTTGAAGTCTTAGAAAGTGATTGGGAGTAGCCATGAGACGAATGGAATATATCTGCTAGATACTCCTGGACAAAGCCAAGGACAACCTGAAAGAGTTGCTTTTAGGTTTACTTCTTCAGAGTCTTTTAGTCATGTCATGTTATGTCATTTTCGTTTGGGTCATTTATCCCTAGAGTTGTTTAAGGGAATTAACTTGTCTAGTCTTTATTATGAGTCATGTGAGTTATCAAAACATTGTAGAAGCACTTATCCTTTACGTAATAAGACAGTTGTGGCAAGATCAACTGCAAAATCTGAATATAGAGCCATGGCACATGGAGTTTCAGAGCTTCTCTGGAATCGCTCCTTGTTAGGAGAGATTGGTGTTGAGGCAGAAGAACCTATGATGCTGTACTGTGATAATCAGGCAGCAATTAACATTGCCCACAACCCAGTTCAACATGACAGGACAAAGCACATTGAAGTGGATAGGCATTTCATAAGAGAAAGGGTGACTTCAGGGGAAGTTTGTCTTCCATACATTGCTTCTGATTTGCAGCTTGTTGATGTTCTCACAAAAGGTGTTGCAAGGAACAAGTTGGAGCATGATCTACGCAAGTTGGGAATGTGTGACATTTACTCCCAACTTGAGGGGGAGTGTTGAGTTGGGCCGATTTCAAGTTATTGGGCCCAATCATTTATTTTATTTTTAAGTTGTTAAGTTAGGAAGTTATTGGGCTGTAGACCCATTAGTTTATGTTTTTATGTTGTGACTATTCAACTACTTAAAGTAGCCACCCTACTAAGGGCATTCTTGTAATATTTCATTATTTTATTTTAAGTATATAATTCCAAGAGGGGTTGGCGGCCAGATCTATTCAATTCTGGCTTCATCCCACTCTGTTTTCTTCTTCTCTCTCTTTCTCTCTTGCTGAAACCTTTTAGTATCTTCTACTTTTCTTCACAAAGTTTACATCAGAATTAGTTATCAGCAACTTCTACTACCATCAAATACCATGCTGATGGCACCATTGAAAGGTACAAAGCTAGGCTGGTTGCAAAAGGTTATACTCAAACATATGGGATTGACTATCTGGAGACCTTTGCTCCTATTGCAAAAATGACATCTGTGAAAAATGCATTTTTGAATGGAGAATTACATGAGGAGGTCTATATGTCTCTTCCACCGGGGATGTATGAGACATATATGATGGGAAATGTGTGCAAGTTGAAGAAGTCTCTTTATGGACTTAAACAGTCACCTAGGGCATGGTTTGAAAGGTTTCGGGCTGCCCTTGTTAACTTTGGCTACATACAGACTCAGTCTGATCATGCCCTCTTTGTGAAGAGGAGAGGTTCTTTGGTGGTATATCTTATTGTCTATGTTGATGATATAGTAGTGACTGGTACTGATGTAACAGGGATTAATGATCTTAAATCTTTCCTTCATACCAGTCCCCTTCTCTCCAGAAACCACTAACAACTGGGCTGAAATAGGTGTCTTTAACTATTCATACGATTCAGTTTTCCATACACACTGTGTATGGGAAAAAAAGGTGAAAAAAGGGAAAAATGAGCCTGCTCTGATACCAAGAAGAAAAACAGCCTTTTGAGAAGAAAGGACTGTTTAGAAAGATGCACAAATCAAAAGAAAGTAGCAGAAATCAGAGTTCAAGAGGAGAGAAGAAGAAGAAGAAGGTGGTGGCAACTTGGGTTTAGAGAGATATTTTCGAACATAATCTCTTCTCTTACACCCTTAATTCTATTTYATTAAGTWAAACTTYDGTAATTTAYAGAGAAGCCCCTAGTTGGGCAGAAAATTAAAAAG